AGAGATTCGAAGGTCGGTTCCACCAGAAGACGACGGCTGATTCCTCTTGACCAGCTGTCGATTGGCTTTAATGGAAGATTCATGCTGACGCTGTTGCCGAGGTAAACTCCTTCGATTCCGTTTATGATTTTTTATAACATGTGAGACGGAGCTTGTCAGTCTTCTTAATTTAGCTTCAACTTAAGACTTTTGCAAGAGTGAGTCTCAGCTTTATGGTGTACGTAATATGGTGAAGGAAGCTCAGTCTGTTTTCGCCTGAAACGAGGGAAGATGTCTCGTAGACTGCGTCAACCTGAACGCCGTAGTAAAGCCAAACGACCTACGAATCTCTTCACCCATCTCTTTCACTCGAAATAGAAGTAAGCTCAACAATTATGAAACGAGAGATTCCTCGAAACCCAACTCTTCCTCGCCTATAATATACCTTTGCTTGGATGAAGCAGCAGACTTAAAGTTCACATGTGATATGTACTTTTAGATACGAAGAGAAACTTTGTTTCGACGAATCTCCTGAGATAACATTGTTGAGAAGACCTTCATTTGGTATGAAAGTGCATGAAGAAGAGATTGGTTGGTCGATCTCACAGGATGAGAACGGATGAATCTTGTTGTCCTGCAGCCTTTGTATTTTATACGATATTCATGTTGAAGCAGTCCACGGGATATCTTTCCTTCATTTCGGGTGAAAATGGGCTGAGCTTTCGTCCATTATATGATGGACATCATCAGAGCTGGGTGTCATTCTTGTAAAAGGCTTTCGTTAAGAATAGGCTAAGAAGACTATCCATCTTTATCTTACCTCTTATATAGACTCAGTTAAGCCAAAAGAAAATTAAAAATTAAAAACCTAGATGGATATAGAGTGGTTTGGCTAATTATCTTTCATAAACTTCCTGCTACTTTTGCTCGAGTGTATGCGTGTGTGTGTTAGCGTCTATACGCAATACCGGTCCTAAATCAGTTATCAAAAGGCTAAAGTTAGGCTCTGATCATCAAGACCTAATGACCTCAAAGTCTCTCATTGACTAATTAGTCTCCGTCTGAAAATGTATTCCTCAGTAGCGATATATTATTCTCAATTAGGCCAAAAGGATAATTATT